TCTATACAAAAGGTTCAATTTTATTAGGTTTTTGGATAACACAAATTTATTTGCTAGCCTGACTCTCGAATGTCTCTAGCGAAGTCACCAAACTATCATAACGTCTAGATCTGGGGATTTATCGCTAGACATTGTCTTAAGGAGTCACCACCAATCTTTTTTATTTAAGTGCAATTGGCCACCTAAAGAATCTATCATTTCAAGGGACACCTAAGCTTAAGGGTCCCAAAAAAGAATAGGTTCAAGTCTACTAATCAGAACAGGATTCAAAATATGATTACGTGTGAGGAAGGTTATAGCACCCTCACAACACCCATCAAAGAATGGTACCAGCTTGATTTCGTATTATCCGATAAGCCTTAAAAATTTTATCAAGTAATTAATTATTGAAAATTATCCTTAATTAACTCCAATACTTTTGACAAAAAATTAAGAACATTCCCTCACCTCAAGAGTATGCAATAAAACTATTATTTCACTTGCAAAGACTCCATCGTCGGACTATTTAACATTAAAAGAAATTTCAAGAAAAGAAAGAAAATTAAAAAAATAAAAAAAGGAATAATGATTCAACTTTTGATATAAATCCTTTTCTTTTCATTTAAAAGCCCATTGCTTTTGTACAAGGAAAATTAATACTTTCAACTTTTCCTTAAAGCATTTGAAAATTTTTTTATTTTAAAAAATATTGATACTTTCAACTTTTTCTTAAAATATTTTTTTTTGAAATTTTAATTTCGAGAAAAATTGATACTTTCAACTTTTTCCTAAAAATATTTTTTTTTTGAAAACCCTTTTATTCTCAAGAAAAATTGATAATTTCAACTTTCTCCCAAAATACTTTTTAGAAATTTTTATTTTAGAAATTTTAATTTTAAGAAAAATTGATACTTTCAACTTTTTCCTAAAAATATATTTTTTAACCTTTTTATTTTCAAGGGAAATTGATTAATTCAACTTTCCCCCCAAAACCTATTTTTTATTTTTATGTTCAAAGGAAATTGATACATTCAACTTTTCTTTAAAATATTTTTTAAAAAATTTAATTTTCAAGAAAAATTAATACTTTCAACTTTTCCTCAAAAATATTTTTTTGAAAATTTTATTTTAAAAAATTCATTAAAAAGAAAATTTTAATTTAATTTAATTTAAATTTAAATTTAAAAAAATTAAGGAATACCAAATAATTCTAATTTAGAAATAATAATAATAACAATAATAATAATAGTTAATAAATAAATATTAAAAAAAAAACTTTGGAACGGCTCGGCTCGACTTTAGGAAGAAAAATGACTCGAAAACGCGGCTCGAGAGTGCGCGACTCGGCTTGGCTCGACTCCAGGGTCACTTGGCACTCGGGTCAGACGCGGGTTGCAATCAGGTCGGGTTAATCCAAGCAGAAACACGCGGACCTTGGGTTGATTTAATGCCAAAACGATGTCGTTTTAAGCAAGTATAAAAGGTAAAAAATCTTATTTTTTCCTCAGATGCCTCCCTTCCTTCTATCTCTCTTCTCTTCTTTTCTCTCTTTCTTTCTCTAACAGAACTCACAATCGGATTGAATTTTCATCAGATTCTAAAAAAAATATCAAAATTTGAAAAAACACGCCGAAAACTTCAAATTTCGTAGAAAAAGTTGACCGAAATATGGAAATTCCAAAAATTTTTCAAAAAAAAATTCACCAAAAATTCTTAAAAAATCTTAAAATCACTTCTGAACCTTTTAAACACCATTTTTTTATGTTTCTTTTCTCTCTGTGTGTTTTCGGTAAATCTTTCTATATGTTCTAGCATCTATGAGTTTTTTATCAATCTCAATTTCATCTGGGATTGAGATTCAATCTTTGAATCTAATCCAGACTCTATCAGCCCCCAAATTCATGACAAAAGAGTTTCTTCGAAATAAAAATCATATATAAAAAGCATTAATAATTAAAACAAAATTCAAAACAGATAAATCAAAAATAATAATAATAAAAATTTTAAAAAATGGGCCCATCTTGCTCATTTGGACCAGGTCCAATTAATCCGAACTTGGACCAAATTGGATGTCTTCAAATATCATAACCTTAATTTGAATATTGAAATTGAACCGACAAATCTAAAACAAGATTGAAGTATATATTTTTTTATTTTGAACATGCGGTTGAATTTGTGGCGATGTTGTAATAAACAGATTTTGAAGCCATATGGATATTTGTTTTCTTATAGTTTCAAAGATAGATGAATATGCATATTCTTACGTCTTTGAAACCATACGGATATACATATCCATATGCCTTTTAAATCTTACAATATGCATATCTATAAGGTATACAAAAGGGTTTAAAGACTTATCAAATATGCATAATCAAAACATTTCTTAGCTTTTTATAAATGTATATCCAAAAAGCTTTAAATTTTTCAGGTAAACATTTTCAAAAGATTTTGATACATTTTTTATATACATTTTTTTATGCACTGTAAACCAAAAATAAGTGGATATGAGAAATAGAAAAATAATTTCAATAAAGATAATTAAATAAATTTATTAATAGGTATTTTTGTCATAAAAAATTAATTTTTTTAGTGTACATAGTAAAAAAAAGGGTGAATTTAGAAACTCTTTTTTTTGGGGGCCTAAAAGGAGAAAAACCCTTGACTCAAACTGCCACATGCTAGAAGGGATCTACTAACTCGTAGATGATCTGATCATTAATCGTCTTAATTTATGTAATATAAAAGTATGATTTTATGCTTTAATGAAACTAATGCTACTTAAACACCAAATCATGCCTAAAAAGAGAAATTAAGTAGCCAAATAAATTTTGTCAATCCCCATTTACATGATATATAGAAGTATATGTCATTAAACTGTCGTTTGATTAGTGTTTTTATTTATTTTTTAAATAAAAAAATAAATAGCAATAATGTGTTTGGATAAAAGCAAAAAATTAAATTTAAAGGATTATATACACTAAACATGTAAATTTTGCAAATGACAATATGCATAATTTATAGTATAATAACTAGTACTACATCTTAATTATTTGTTTATTCTAAATCAAATTATTAATTATTTTATGCTTCATAACAAATTTTCAAAAGCAAAATATCCTTTAGCTGATCTTTGGGTAATTACGGTAAATCAAATCATGCATTGTGCCTTCCATTTCCTTAAAAAAGTTGAAATAAAAAAAATGTTTATAAAATGTTCTTTAAACTAGAAGGAGCAAATGAGCTATGTCAATATTCTCTTTTTTTTTTTTTTTTTCTTTCTTGTAATTAAAATTAGAAGAAAATGAAGTTCTTTTGGGAAGCTTGACTTGAAGGTTGAAAGGTGGAGCGGTGCTAACGTAATTGGTGATGACATGCTTAGTTGTAAATAAATTAATAAAATAAATATTGTAAAGATTTGGTGGCTGATTGTGAGCATTACAGGCTAAGGGCCCACAATCGAGTGGAGCCTGGCACACGAGAATATATCAGGTTTAGGTCCTAGGCTTCTTTCATAAACTCATCCGTGGGGTCCTGAATTTCTTACACAAACTCACCCTCACTTTCCGCGCGTGAGAACACTCTCCAACTTATTACTCCTATTTATTTGGGATTTTTAATAAAAATTAAACTAATAATAAATTGATGGCAAAAAAAAAAAACTAATAATAAATTAATATCAAAATGAACAGTGAAATGTTACATGATGCTAGAGATAAAGAGAGGGGAAGCCTCATTTTCTTGTTGTGATCACAATGCAAGTAGCATGATTTTTTTTTTTTTTTGGATTTAATTGTAAAAGAAATGTTTTTCTTGGGAAGATGATGCCAATAATGAAAAATAAAAATCAAACCATGAAAATTAACTTTTTCGTTTGGCATTTCAATATTTTTCTTTCACTTACTAGGATGTTGAAATGACATTAACGAATTTTCTTTTTATCTCTAATTATTTTAGCAATTAAACATGAAATCTAAATATTTATAAAATTAAGTTTCAAATTTAGTTAAGTCCTACAAAGTACGAGTTTCGTCCAATTATATATTGATATATAATATATATTAAAATTTATTTAATTATGATATTAATTTTTACTAATACATGTAATTTCAAAAAAAAAAAAAAAACCAAGATAGAAGAGTTGAATTTCAATCATCCCAACCTCATCTTGTTCTAAAATCTCACCAAGAAATAATCCATATTTATTATCATTTTAGTTTATATATCCAAAAATTGAAAAGATAATAGAAACATAATTATTATAAATTATGATTTCTTGATCATTAAATCACATTCAGATGAAAATATTTTTAAAATAAATCTTCAACATATCATTTATTTAAAGTATATATGCAAGCAAATAAAGCGGCCTAACACACCTAATTCTTTTTCTTTTTACTTTTTCCATGAGCTTTCCTAGTCCATCTTCATCCTCTATTGATCCTCATTTTTCACAATAAAATCTAAAGTAAGACATTTTGGAATAAAGATCAAACATAATGTGCTTATCCCTATTTTATTTACTTAAAAAGTTTAGAATTTCAATTAGATTTTAGGCTTGTACAAAGTTTTTAAGACAATATAAAATAAAAAAATAAAGTAATGAGCATTTATTGTTAACCCGTTGTTTCTTACTTTCATAGAAGACTACCAAAAATATATATCAATGTCATTTTGCTAAAATTTCCATATAAGTACTGATTAAATTAATAAAAATTGAATATTTAGTTGTAAAATTTAAGTTTAATTCTTATAGTTAGTAAATTTTTTATGAAGAATTTATAAATTAAAAATAAATATTTACGATATGTCCGATCTTAAAAGAAAATAATCTTGTCTCCTCTAAATTTTTATATATAAAAAAAATCTCAAGAAAGGTGATAGTGATTTTTAATTAAGCTTTGATTGCCCACGAATCTTAGGGTAGTGCCACACGCGCAGAAGAAAAACGTGAGCCTACTGACACCACCGAAATTAACATATGATTTACCCAAAAGAAAGTGAAATCACTAGTATATATTGTTGGAGTGAATTGGTGTAACAACAACAACAACTAGTAGTAGTTCAAAGTGATGGGGAGGCAGCCCTGTTGTGACAAGTTAGGAGTGAAGAAGGGGCCTTGGACAGCTGAGGAGGACAAAAAATTGGTCAATTTTATTCTCACTCACGGCCAATGTTGCTGGCGGGCCGTCCCCAAGCTCGCTGGCCTCCGTCGCTGTGGCAAGAGTTGTCGACTCCGCTGGACCAATTACCTCCGGCCGGACTTGAAACGAGGCCTCCTCAATGAAGATGAAGAGCAGCTTGTTATTGATCTGCATGCTCGCCTTGGCAATAGGTTACTAAATTTCCTCTTTGACATTTTCTCCGATCATTACCACTGGTTAGTTTGTATGGTTTTATAATTATTAAAAAAGAAAAGTCATTTTTAATTGCTTTTTCCATATTGGTTTTGATGATTTTTTAAGACACGAAATTTGCTTGACAGTGTCCAATGTAAGAGTTGACTTTGTCATTTGTATCGCTGTTTGTCTCTGGATATCTTGGCTGGAAATAATTTAGTTCTATTCTTAATTAGTAGTTATAGAAAGAAAATAATATATATGACTTTAATTAAACAAAGCTAAATAAATAATATAATGGGTACAAGGAAATGTAATAAAAAGAAGCAACATATAAAAAATTGATTTTTACGCTTTCATTTTCTTTAGGTGGTCCAAAATTGCAGCAAGATTGCCCGGAAGAACTGATAACGAGATCAAGAATCACTGGAACACCCATATCAAGAAAAAGCTCATTAAGATGGGAATTGATCCTGTTACACATGAGCCTCTACAGAAACCCGACACCCCACAAGGGGCAACCTGCAGCAGTCAAGCAAACGATCAGACAAATCTTGATCCTAGTCAACTCGAGTTGCCAAAACATTCTGGCCATGTCTCTTCTACTACTGATGAATTTAGCCTTCCAACTGAGAATTCCTCGACCGATGAATCGAGGTCATCATCAGAGTCTGGCAGTGATGATGACCTCTTGATGAATTTGACATGGTCAGAGCCATTTCTCAATGACTTGCCATGGAACTTTCCTGGCCCAGATTCCAGGGAAGAATATAGTGAACTTGGGTTCTCTTTGTCCGAGGAAATTTCCTTTTCACGGTTTTTGGACTACCAAAATATTGGAGATGATCATCAAAGCTTCGGATTTGGTGGTTTCAGTGGAATTGGCATGAATTCCCTTGACATGGCTGGCAAGTTTTAGCATTCACCTACTAGAGAGTGCCTATGTGCACTCATGTAAAGCAAAAAACAAAAAAAAAAAAAGTAAAATAGCCAACAAGGTATTCGTGAATGGACCTTTTAAGCTTAATTTCCAGTTAAATTATTTATCTTCAGTTAGGATCTTAGAATAACAAAGGGGAAAAAAAATAAAGAGGCTCAAGAATTAGTTGAAGCAAGTAAATGGTACTCCTAATTTATCCTTTGTTTCACATGTTTTTAAGATCCAAATAGATAACTTCACTTAGCCAATCCTGGCAAAGTGGGTGTGCTGTCACTTTGCTAGAAAAGTAAGGATACTTTGTAATCTCTCAACCCTTTTCTTTTTTCTTCAATGGATGTTGATGATGCGCCCTGGCATTGGTCTTATGGGTTTCTAATTGCATTAAAGAATAGAAAGGGATGTGCCACCAAATGGTCACCCCACTTCCTTGGAGAGCTGTGTGGTTGAAGCTTTTTTATGGTGAGTGCACAAACCATTTTCTGTAAACAAACTATAGTGATATCTGCTTTGTAACATCTTTTGGTTGTACAAAAATAACTTTTATAAATAGTATTTTCCCTATTTCTTTTGTAAAATGAAGGAAGCTTGGCATTTTTTTAAACAAGAAAAAGTATTAGGATTGGAACCTAAGGTCATGATATTTAAGATTATCAAAAATTAAATTGTGATTATCGTAATTTAAAAACCAACACTACCAAGCACATTTTCTAGTGATAGGTGGCTGGAATCAAATTAATATTATTATCAACAATATTATGCTTCTGATTTCAACAATTTTCTTCTTCAAAAATTTTCATTTCAAATGACATGCATGTATAATAATACAAAATTTTTTCACTTTAAAATATACAAAGATTAAGACGGTATTATTATACATGAAATTAACTTTAAATAAAATTTGCATTAATTTAAGATGAAATTACCTGACCTAAATTAGATTGTATAATTATAGGAATTAGGATTTTGTAAATTACTTGCTTAAATGAATGAAACTTAAATCCGAAATTTAATTTAATTAGTTTAAACAATAATTCTTAAGCAATGATGTTCAACAGATTTGATATTCAATTTCCAACCTCTTCAACCTTTTTTTTTTCCTTCTCTCAAGCTAAAACCTTCATTAATTAACAAAAAAAAAAAGGATAAACCTTATTCTTCTTGGTGTGTGTTCTAGATGGCTCAATTTTCTTAATCCTTCATAGTAAAAAATTGGTTGGAGGATTCAACTCGTTCATGTCAATGCGTGAGGTTGGCCTTCATCACTGTCAAATTAGATTGTCCTACAGCTGACATCGTTTCTTGACGACCCTGGTCGACTAATACCCATTAAGTCTTACATATTTAGCATCCAAAGAAAGAAAATTAGACACAGTTTCCCCCTAATATTTCTTTTAGTTATCACTGTCTGCTCTATCTGCCATACTGAAATTATAGTCTAATTCATTGAATATCATTTGGGTTAATTTAGTTCAAACCAAAAGCCACGAATTTAGAGACAAATGACAAAAAGACAAAGTAGGGAGATTAATTATCCAAATTTTGTTGACAATATTTCCCTTGATTTAATAAATATTTATATAGTTGAAAAGTTTTGTCGGTAAATATAAAAAACCGCATTCATCAATATCTAGAAGATGTAATCAACACGGCTAAATCGACATAGACGTCATAATTTAAGAAAGTCTTCATCCTAAAACTAAATCTTACTTAGAAATTAATGTGACTTTTACTTAGAACATCACCAATGATGTCATGTGGTTTCAACCTTCCCAATAGTTTCATTGATAATATATATAATAAAAATAAAGAATATGTACACTATACCAAACTAAGCCTCCATCATCATCATTGCCAAGGTAGCTTGCTTGAAAAAGATAAAGGGGAAATGGAAGAAAAAAAAATGTGGCAGAGAACTATATGTTAGCCAATCATTCTCAGTTCAAGGAAATCATGATTAATAAAATAATCAGAATCTTGGCATGCCTCAATCCAACAAGCCGAGGTAGCTATTGGCCTTGTTTTTGAGTGTCTATTTGGGGATGTCGCAAACCGGCACAGCAACTTTAGGCCTAAGATATCCAAGGTGATTGATTTTAACATATATAAATTGACTTAGAAACTGCTCACATCATGCTTAAGTATTATTATTAACTACCTAAAAGCTTCAACAAAATATTAGTTATACTATCGCTAGCTACAAACACTCGTTTCCCATTGCGGAGGAAACCAATTTTGTTACATTAGTTACTTTTTTTTCATGGATCCAATAGACTTGGATTATGTAATAAAATAAATAAGTTTGGCTGCATATTTGTGGAGGAAATTCTGCACACTGCATACCAAAAACTTATTTTAATTATACAGTTAGATTTACAATGTATGAAGAATATATTTGATAACAATAAGAATAAACCGACCTGTAAAAGATCATGTTGCCCTAAAGCCCTACTTAGTATGTATACTTTATACGTATAGTAAAAATTGATTAAATAACAGTTTATTTCAATTTAAGATTATTAAATATATATTTTTGCATAGGATAATTAAGTATAGACATCTTGCTCAAGATCTAGCTTTTAATTCTTTAATTAAAAAAAGTAATGAATAATTAAGTTTTCAATTATTATGGCTAAAATACTAAAACATCCCATGAACTTTTCCACTTTATTTAGATAATTTTTTTTTGTATTCAAATAAGTCCTTATTCTTTAATTTGTATTCAATTCAAATAAAAGATTGATTTGTATTAAAAGTTTATTTGAATAAAAATTAAAAGATAAGAGCTTATTTGATTATAAATTAAAGTTTAAAGGCTTATTTAAATATAAAGTAAAAGTTAAAGACTTATTTATATGCAATTAAAATATACAAATTTATCTAAATCAAATGATAAAATTCAAGAATTTTTTTATTAGTTTAACTAATTATTATTATGTCAAAAAAGTTCAGAAATTTAGTAGTAAATATAATAACCAATCCACTCAAAGTGCATACTCTTGTCGTTGAAACATTTATTATTGACTGATACGTACAAAAGTTCATTAATTGTACCGTGTTTGAACTATCTAGAGGGACATCACATATCAATCCGATGTTCAAACGTCCATTTTGAACTATAAGATTAAAGAAATCTCTAATATTATATACTAGCAAACCACTTCATTTAAAACTTCAAAATTTCAAATCACGAGTTTTTATGTGTTTTTTTCTTTCTTATAAAAATCAGCCATTGCAGTTTACAGATGCATAATTTCTCCATGTATCCCACACCTACAATCTTATATATTAAAGGGCTTTTATGGTATTATGATTTAATGTATTCGAGGCTAAAAATTTAGCTTTATATATATAAGAAGTTAATGTCATGAATAACTCTTATAAAATATTTAATGTGATATTAAAATTTTAAAATTTTTTAATATGATATTTATAGTATGACCTATTAATTAATGTGATATATAAAAAATTATTTATTTTTCATGTATCATCATTTGATGTTAATAATGTTAAAAATAAATATCACTTTAATTAATATATTTATAATTCAATTATCATATTTAATATGTCACTATAATTTAAAGATTATTAGTAATATTAATTCATTTATATATTACTTTTTTTGCGGATTATAACTTAAAGTAACATGTTCTTTTGACTTATTTAGAGCCAAAAAAACAAAATAATGAGATATGTATAAATAAATTTGATAATTTATATATTTATATCATATAAAATATTAATAATTCATAAATTTTTATTTTATTTTATATAAAAATAATATGCTATAATTTATTTTAATATAAAAATATAAAATATATTTTTTTATTTTATTAAATATATATAACTTTTATTAAAATTTTAAATTATTATATTTATATCATTTTTTATATCATTTTCGTTTCATTTTATTATTTTTATTATAAATCATCAGATCCAAAAGATGTCAACACAATGTTACGGAGATGATCTCTCTAAATCTAGATAGATCTGCCTGGATCTGCGTGAACTAAAGAGGTACATGTTTCAAACAGGGATAAAAAAAAGGCTGTCAGAGACCTATCAAAGACTACGATGATAGCGAATAGATCATGTCAATCTATGTATATATAAGGAAATCAAGATAACAATCCAGCATTTGATTTAAAAGTGAATAGTCGGTAAAATTGAATTATGATAAAATTAAAAATAATGATGTTATGAAATTAAATATTATAAAATTAAAATTAAAATTAATAATAATAATAATATATATTTAAATATAAATATAATGATAATAATAAGATAAACTGTTTTAAGGCAATCGATTGTATAAGATCCAATAAACGTACTAAACCCTTTTTTTTTTTTTTTTTTGATACTCCCTCTAATTTGAGACGAGAGATAGTGAGATTTTTTTGCCTCTGATTACTTGGTTTGGATTTACCTAAATGCACCCGTGATCCAGTTGGGGGTAAAAAGTGGCTTGAGTTCCATTCCATCGTGTAAAAGAATCCAAATGAACCCTTAGTTATTGGTATATGCCTATATGGTACTCTGCTCAAAACAGGATTCATTTTTTTTCAAATAAAAAAAAAAGACAGCTAAGCATAAAAATCATAAATGACAAAACGTAAAGATAAGTATTACGCACTACTACTACAGCCCCTTGTCTAAACGTATTCATACCATCTGGTCATTATTTATGTATTTTCTTTTAATTCACAAAGTTTTTAACGTTTTATAATGCGGCAGTGAGTGATAAGTTTGGTGCCTTGAAGCATCACAGACCTGTGCTGTTAACCATAAATCCTGGCTAGTAGGGATAAAGTGCCTACAACTAGAAGCTTCCTCCAGCCCTGAAAAAAGCAAGGTCTAAAAGCCAAGAGGTGATGATAGTTTAGAATATGATATATTTTATATTAGATAAAAAATTTTAATTATTGATAAATAAAATTAATTTTTAAATTAATTTTATTTATATTTTAAATAATTATATTTAAATTAAAATAATTATCATATGAAAAATTATCATAATTATTTGAATATAAATAGATTATTATTCATAAAAATTATGATTATATAAAAAGTTATCACTATTTAAATAAAAATTTATGTCTATTCATTTATTATAAATAGAACTTTCAGTATAACTATTTTCATTATTTTTAATTGAAGAGTTTGAGATTTTATTGTATCCTAAATATATAATTACATTTAAGATAGTGTTCTTCACACCTCAAAGCTAAAATTTTTTTCTATTATTTCTATTCTCTTTTTTTTTAACAATTTAAAAACAATTATAAAAATTTTATATTTTGCATGGGGAAAATATAAGGAAAAAAATTGGCATGATTTGGATATCAATATTAGAACAAGCTCAAGTTGTTAAAAGATTAATGTTTTCGTAGATCAAAATATTAATTTTCATAAAGATCTTCATTAGATGTATGTATTTTATTTTTTTGTATAATTACTGGTAAGAAACTTAACTGAATGAGATAAATAAGTTAACAATTAATTTTATTAATGTATAAAG